CCAGAGGGCTCCACTTTTAGTTTCTTGGCACTGCAGAAGGCACTCGACGATACTGACGGAGGGGAGAACACCTGCAGCTGTGAGGCCATACCTGAAATGAGAAGAGAACGATCTGATTAGTAATGGCCCCATAATAGCAGGTCAAGAATCAAGGAAATCCTCAGTTTGCACAGCAAACCAAGATATTAGTCTTTCCAGGCACCCTATTGAGATAGAGACCCTTCACCACATGACCCATGTCAGCATGGAAGGCAACAAGGTTTCTTTTCTAATAGCTGCTCCCACAGCTGCCACCCAGGCCTTCCTGGGGGTTGGAGTGAACATTTACCAGGCTCACCTGCCAAGCACCGACACTGACCTTGCTGTGGGCAATGCAGAAAAGCCCCAGCTCCTCGCTTGCCTTGCCCAACGTTAAGGGGATTCTACTGAAAGAGAGAACTAAGGGCTGGGAGGAGGGGAAACTGCAGCGCTAATTCAGCTCACTCCGCTGTATTGAGCCACACTTTCCCCACAGGTTTCAGAACAGCATTAAGAAACAATGCGGGGAAAATCTAAAACAAACAAGGAAAGAAGATTGCAAATGAGAGCACTCTTGCAGGTCTGGTGTATGAAGCTGGCCAGGAACTTGGCATGTCTGTCATACAGACTTATCTGTATCTCCACACCCTGAGGTGCCACAACATAACCAAATACCGGTAGAAATGAAGGCCTTCACACTATCAGTTTGGTTTATTTGCCTCAGAGGGTTTAAAGAGCATTTAATTAAACATACATAAGAGTCCTAGGGCTAGTCAAAGGGTCCCATCCTTCAAGAGAGCACCATCAATCCCCACTAACTTCAGTTGGAAATGGGGCACTCAGCACCCGCCAGGATCAGCTCCAAAGAGAATCACAGCACACGATGACTGGGGAAATAAGGAAGGGCAACAATACAGCAGCTGCTTACCGATTCCCAAGACGAGGGCGTCCGCTCACCAGTAAACAGGGAATGGAATTTAGATGGGGGAGACTCTCCAGTTTACAAACTGAAAAGTCAGTGCTTAGCAAATAGGAAACCCTGTATGTCACATTATGCCCAAAATACAGATTCCCTCTGTTCTACATTATGGGAGGGTTGACAACTGAAAAAAAGCTAAGAAACTCCTTTCTCAAATCCTTTGTTAGGCTTTGTGCAGAGACACAAGCAAAATCTCCTTTCTTTGCGTTACAAGGAAAATACTAAGTTTGGGTCTTCAGAGCTGCCTAATAAGCCACTCATTTTATTGCCTGACAAGTCAGAACATCATCCACCTTGTCTCTCTACTGTCAGAACCTAACCACAAATTCTCAGTATTAATACACATTAGAGTGGGGGGAACAGATACAAAGTCTGCAATTCATAACTGAATCTGAGTCGCTTGGGGATGACACAATACAATATTCTATAGAAGATTCCCCAGAAATCTGAAAGGTAATACTGTCAGTATAATGACCTAGACAGACAATAATGTAACCGTTCTGGGGAAGGTATTTTGTCTATACTTGCATTTTAGGTGCTGGTGCAATCTATTTAAAAAAAAAAACAATCAAGTAGGCATGCAAACTATTAGCTAGGTTTGCCTGCCAATGGAACAATCACCAGTAGCAAGAGATGAGTAAATCCACCTTATTACTTAAAGAAAATAAAAACCTGCTTGCATTAAGGTGAATGACATATCTATGAGAAGTGTCTTATGACCAGTCCCTGTCTTCTAGGATCAGGACCACCAACTCATTCCAGATGGTAATGCCTTCCAATCATTACTGACCCAGACCAGACCAGTGACCCGAAGATGCAGCTGGAAGACGTATTCTAAACTGTCATTTTCTTTGAGTGATGGACACAGTCTTTAAAAAAAAAAAAAGTCTCCTTTCCTAAATTTCATTTAGGCGCTAGTCTAGAACTTTGTTCCATTTTCATTAAATATTAATTGGGCAAAAACAAGGCACCCTTTCTAGCCTAGTGTTTGGATGGTCACCTAGCATATAGGGACTTCTGGTTCAATTCCCCTGCTAGGAAGGGATTTGAACAGTAATCTCCTGCCTCTCCAAGTGAATTACCTAAATGCTGGGCTATGAGATAGTCTGCTATGGGGCACTTGAAGCTCTTTCACTTTAATCAAATACTAATTGGGCCAATGCAAGAATCAAACATAAGAACTCCTCTCTAGTGCAGAGGTCAGGGTACTCACCTAGAAAGTGGGAGATGCTGGTTCAAGTCCTGTGCCTACATCCTTAAGAAAGGGTAGGAACAGGGATGGCCTACCTAGCCACTGGACCACAGAGGGAGCCTAATCCTTTAGCTGGCCCATAGAAATCTCTTACTGAAGTGAAACAGCTTCAACAGCCCCCATCTGTATAGCCCCAGTACAGACTAGGCAAAGTGGGGAACCAAACCAGAATCTCCCATATCAAAGGCACTGCACTATGCATTCAGATTACTGTATGAGGGGGCCACTTGGCAGAGAACAGTTGTTTACATATTCAGAGTGTATACTTTAAATGGAGTGGGGCTTTCACAATCTGAAATCACAGCCACATCCTCACTGGGAGTGCTTTACCCCCGCCTACTATACCAGCAAAGTGCTCCGAGCATGGACGAAGCTATACCAGTAAAGCTTTGTACCAATAGAATAGGACCACTCTCCATGAGCAAAATAAGCGAAACCTGTAAAAAGTTGTAAAACTGCATCTACTCTAGGGGCTTCTGCTGGCACCACTATGCCAGTCGGGGTCACTCCTTCGTCAGCCTGAACACCACGGCCGTGCCAGCAGACATTTATACCGGCCTATTTCTACGGAGCGCTGTGAGCTTTGGTGTTAAATTATATTTTAAGAAAAAAGTGGGTTTACACAGCAATACTATCATAGCTTCCTTATTCTCATGTTCTGAAGCATTTCTAATCCCAGCAAATTCTAAATTAGGAACTCCCCAACCCCATTTTAAAAAGTCAAATGGAGCCTACAAAACAGCTTCTTTGATTTAGAGTTACAGATACTTCTATCTGATTAACCTTAAAATTGAATGAACCAAGACCAGTTATTCCCAATCAGCTTTTAAAGGTAAAATTACAGGCTTTGAGATATTTATAAAGCGTTGTTTTTTTTTAACTGATTCAGTGGAATAACTGAATGGTGCCTCTTGAATAATTGGCAGAGTTTTGTTTCTCCAAATGAGCGATTATTTCTGGCTGTCTCGGGTTTTGGTTTGTACGGCAAACTAATATGAACCGAAAGCAAACGCAGCTTAGGAAGTGTATGTGGTACGTAGACAAAGAACACAGGCAACAATCCTGCCAACTTGTAGCTGCCTGCTCTGTTCAATAAACAGCCTCTTAAAGCGCTCGCTGTTGTATTTCGCAAAGCCTCACCCCGCGCCGGGGACAACCCGGGCCTCACCCCGCCCGGGCAGTTACACAAGGCGGATCCCGGAGCGCAGACAAACCTGAGCGGCCCGGCCCGGCCCGGATCGGATCGGCGCACAAGCGGGGCAGGGCCGCGCGAAGCCCGATACGCGGGCCGGGCGGGGAG